CTGGCGGTTCTCAGGTTTTTACAGTTAACAGTGCATGCCCATGAATTCCCGGAAAACCAAAGTGTACAAGGCTGTGATGTTTAATCATGAGCCAGCTCCTCCCGTAGGCCATGGGAGCCAAGATCATCTGTGGCCATAGCAACAGTTGGAGGGACAGCGAAAAAAAGAAAACATCTTGAAAAGGGTGCCAATGGACAGGACCCAAAAAAGGCAAAGATTAAAATAATTAGAGGGACAAATAATAGAGCACAAAATATAGTAAAATAAAGATATTACATTTAAACAAGGGGTATAGGTGTGAGACCAGCTGTGTGGGCATAAAGTGAAATACATATTTAAAGGTGGGGGGGGGGGAAGAAAAAAATATCTAATCTCTATACGCAACAAAATTTACACAGCTAATTAAACAAATGCATGAGTCAACAAAAGAAGCAGGTCAGGTAAGAAACACAGCAGTAACAGTCATGTTAAGACCCCTGGGAAGCATCATCTATAATGTATGGATCCAGAAAGCACCTCCATTGTAACAAAATCTGATGTCTGTCACCACCTCGAATTGGTTTGGTGACCAAATAAATCAAAATCATAAAATCACCATGCCTTTACATTCAAGGGTTTGGTGTTGGGCTTTGACAAAGTGAATTGCAACATGTTTAACGGTGATGGGGTTTGCTTTTTTTTCAATCAAATTGTTTTTATTGAACAGTTTTGTAAACAGTCAATAACATAGATCAACAGACCAACAAAAAACAATCACCACCAAGTGTCGACCAAGCACGTCCTGACAGGAGGATCAGAATATTCCCTAGAAGACAGCAATACAGTTATAAAAACAACATTTTAGGTATAAAAATAGACCAGATACCTGCATAGGTAAAGGATGCAGTGACAGTGGTAAGCATAGTGTATACTCATTGAGATTACCAGAGGGATACAACCAAGAAACATTGACCACTGGGGTCTAAAGAGTAAGCATGAGGACCAAATCAGGGAGAATTTACTATAAAGCCCTCTCCTTTGGTACCTTACCCTCTCAAAGGCAAGGATCCTATCTAGTTCAATCATCCACTCCGAAACAAAAGGTGGGGAGTGTGATATCCATTTGCGTGCAAAGAGTCAAGCAAGCGGAGACAAGGCAAGGGAGACGTTAAAGACTGAATCAGTGTAACTATTTGGCTCCAATACATGACATAATTTAGGGCAACGTCATAGGAGATGTATCAGTGAACCCTGGTGTACCTCTATGGTGTGAACATTTCTCGGATAGGGAGTTGTTGACCCTCACACGCGCCATAGGAGAAGAGTACAGAAGGCGGACCCAATTACAAAATTGGGGTCCAAACCCAAAGGTGGCAAGCACTGCCCATTAATAGCGCCCTTCGACACTGTCGAAGGCCTTCGCAATGTCCAAAGGCCAACAAAGCCCTATTACCAGTATTGTCAATTGGAATTTGCATATTCAAGTACGCCCTGTGAATATTAACTGCAATCGACTTGTTTGGAAGGAAACCAGATTGATCTGAGTGAATAATGAATGGGATTTTAGAGGAAAGTCTGTTAGCCAAAACCTTAGCCAATATCTTAACGTTCGTGTTAAGGAGATAGGTCGGTAGGAGTCTGGAAGCAGAGGGTCTTTATGTTTTTTGGGCAGAACAACAATGGTGGCGTCATACATTGAAGATGACAAATGTCCAATATTTAAAGATAGACCTGTGCAATAAGTCCATCCGTGAAATGTCCTTGCTACTGTTAGTGGTATTATAATAAAGTGGAAGCAACTTGGAACAACAGCAACTCAGCCATGAAGTGGTAGGCCACGTAAAATGACAGAGTGGGGTCAGCGCACGCTGAAGCGCACAGTGCGCAGAAGTCGCCAACTGTCTGCAGAGTCAATAGCTACAGACCTGCAAACTTTGTGTGGTCTTCAGATTGGCACAACAGTGCGTAGAGAGCTTCATGGAATGGGTTTCCATGGCCGAGCAGCTGCATCCAAGCCTTACATCACCAAGTGCAATGCAAAGTGACGGATGCACTGGTGTAAAGCACGCCGCCATTGGACTCTAGAGAAGTGGAGACGTGTTCTCTGGAGTGCCGACTCACGCTTCTCTGTCTGGCAATCCAATGGACGTGTCTGGGTTTCCCGGTTGCCAGGAGAACGGTACTTGCCTGACTGCATTGTGCCAAGTGTAAAGTTTGGTGGAGGGGGATTATGGTGTGGGGTTGTTTTTCAGGGGCTGGGCCCTTAGTTCCAGTGAAGGGAACTCTTAAGGCATCAGCATACCAGGACATTTTGGACAATTTCATGCTCCCAACTTTGTGGGAACAGTTTGGGGATGGCCCCTTCCTGTTCCAACATGATTGCGCACCAGTGCACAAAGCAAGGTCCATAAAGACATGGATGAGCGAGTTTGGGGTGGAGGAACTTGACTGGCCTGCAAAGAGTCGCGGAGACTGCGAGCCAGGCCTTCTCATCCAACATCAGTACCTGACCTCACAAATGCGCTTCTGGAAGAAGGGTCAAATATTCCCATAGACACATTCCTAAACCTTGTGGACAGCCTTCCCAGAAGAGTTGAAGCTGTTATAGATGCAAAGGGTGGGCCAACTCAATATTGAACCCTACGGACCAAGACTGGGATGCCATTAAAGTTCATGTGCGTGTAATGGCAGGTGTCCCAAAACTTTTGGCAATATAGTGTATATTGATTATCCGTACAAAGAGAACCAGATGTGTCCCTAATTGACCCAATGCCTCGATCTCTAACAACATAACAGATGTATGTCCGATAAAAGCATTCATCAAGGCCACAAAATATTGCTTACTAAGACAGGAAGAGTGGGATATCCCAGGGCAGCACGCTAAATGTTGGGCTAACACACATACCATTTGTAGCAGAGTTCCCGGGGGGAGTCTTAGGTAATCCATCTTGCCCATTAGCAGTAGCATTGCTGGCTATACCTTGTCCCCCGTTCCATCGAGTTTGAAGTCTGCCATGGTGAGAGGCTACAACGGGTACTCCCAACACTGGCAGCAAAGGGTTAAAGAGAATCCCCCCCTCTCTGGTCTCTGTTGTTCCTCTAGAAAAGTTTATGGTTTAAAAGCGCCAAGGACAATCCTTATCCCTCCTGGGGAAGAAATCGTAAGCACATATGCAAGGTGCAGCCTCAAAACAGTCAACCAATTCACCTTTATGCCTGTCTTTTTGGATTAAACGATATTACACCAGGAAAGGCGCCTCTTCTTTTGTGTTTTTTTTCTGTTGTTCCTCTATCGTACTGCCAAGGATGGTGTCTGATGCCAACAAGGTTGGTGTGCTTCCTCTATGAGGCACAGTTGGCCAACACTGCTCCTGTCTCATAGCTGTCAATGGCAGTGTTTGGAACCACCAGGAATGAGGGCAGGAGACACATTTTTCTAAACAGCACTAGCTGTGGGGGTGGGGTTCAAACCGAAGTAATTATACACAAAAAATATTTTAGTGTGGGATTTTTTTTTTAAAGGGCCAGCACCCATGGAGACTGGGGGTACCCAGAGGGGAGATAGGAATGGAGACTCACATAGTTACTCACCCACTAGTAGAGTCAGACATCCAACAAGGGAAGGGGGATATGCCACTGCCCTGGACCTTTATAGTACCCTGTGGCTAACCCAACATGCCGTCCCACATCTTTAGTCCTGTTGGGTCTGGGTACGGTCCCCAAAGCTATTGCTATGGGGCCACAGGAAGACACTTGACTGTGGAAATGCAGAAAAAAGTTAACTAAGCTACCACACATCCAGAGACATCCATTACCTCATGACACTTTGCCTGTCGAAGGGACCTTGTGGTGGTTCCAAAATGTTGCAATGTTTGTCTTTGCTGTAAGAACATCAGTAAAGATGAGATTTGTGTAGACAATTTATGCTTTTTTTTTTGTATGATACAGTGGCACCCTCCACCAGTTGTTGCAGTACCCAACCGGAAGAGGTACATTGGTATTGTGACTAAAGGAGATCTAACCACAATCCGTCATCCAAGGACACTAGCAAAATACTGCGTATTTCCTGGAGTGGAAGGGGCTATAGGGGGGTCCTCACAGCTCTGGCCAGTGTCCAGTCACCTGATACCTTCATATTACCCAGGTGTGTCCCATACTGTACGATCAAGAAAAATTGTGTTAATATTTACTTTGATTATCTAATCATGTGAAAAGTAAATTTCTGCTTACTTATTTAATCTGCACATGAGTAGATAATCATGCAAGCAAAATCTAGGAAACAAGCAGTACCCTTACAGACCTCAGTTGGGCCACAAAAGTCTGATTTCGAATCACTGTAGCAAAGAAAAATGGGAAAGGGAAGCATAGCTTTGATCTGAACTTCTTACAATTTTTATAATTCAGTTTCTGTGGGATAATTAGGAGCCCAACAAGATCTTGTAAATTTCTAAAATAAATACTTACATATTTTGCTTCAAACTTCCTTGCCAACTTCTCTGCCTCAAGTCGTTCACGTTCCTCATGATTAAATGGATCAGCAGATTCTGATAATTTAACCTTTAAAAAACACAAATAAGTTAGTGGTTAAGGGCAACTACAGGCTTAAAAAAAAAAAAAACTGCCATTCCACAGTCATGCAGTGAAAAAGCCAAATTAAAATTTTCACGACAGGCCCTCAAAACTGTTTCTAATATTTTTTTAGACATAGAAAAGTTGGTAGCAGATATAAATATACAAATTAATGCAGGTTTGTAAACATTAACAGATCAATAAATGTTTTTTTTTTTTTTAATGCAAGCAGTATAAGCACCTGACTTTGACCTGGCATCAGCCTCTTGCAATCTCTGTAACAATAGGGCAAGGGTGTGAGAGAAAGCAGCAGCACAAGAAGCCAATCTGCTGAGAAGGGGCATGCAGACTGGAGAACGAGTGAAAGATGAGCTTTTCACCTCAATGCTTCTCCTTTCACTTTCCAGTCACAGGCTGGGGCAGGTCTATGACAGCCTGACAGTATAAAGATGTGCGAAAATCACAGGTGCCAAAACACAGTAACTGCTGCTGAAAATGGTCTTCCAAAAGTATATATAGGGGGGCAGTTCCTCACAGTCAAGGGAAACCAAAAATCTGACGCGGACAAAGCAAAAGGAGCGCCTCCCATAGTGTAAAATTTATTTATTAAGGATAAAACAAACACATAGCTGAAAAGGTACTTACAAACCAGCTTGTATAAACAAGCAGAAAGTATATAATCTTAGGAGACCATCAAGATGAATACACGAAAATAAGGTGAGGGAAAGGAAGTGATAGTACTAAGCCGAAGCCATCTGCACGCTGACCCTCCTCTTTCAAAGACAAACCTCTTTCATCAGAACCCCTCTGATGAAAGAGGTTTGTTCTCAGAAACTCCTCAATCCATCTTTCGTTAATGCTTGAATAATTGGAGATGGTTTTGCGCTGGTCCATTCAAGGAACCTTAATAATCTCCTGCCAGGGGAGAAATCTGGATTACCTAAAATAGGTGTAAGGGGGCCCACATAAGATGTCACTTTAGAGGATCTAATTGCCTTATCCCATATTATTAGCAGATCTCTTATTAACGGCAATAGAATTTTCTTAACAGGGCGGGTCTCTCCAGGTTCACCCATGCATAACCAAATGCCTATGCATAACCAAAATGTTATACCGCAGGCGGGGAGAGGATCGTCCCCACACATTTAACAAAGATAGATCTCAATAATTGAAAAAAGTCCTTGGCAATTTAATTGGTATGATTTGAAGAAAACGTGGTAGAATATCCATTTTTAATAACGCAATTCTACCCATCCATGAGGGATTTTTCAAGGCCCATAATGTCAATTTATACTAGGTGTAGGGGCAAATAATTAAGTTCATACAAATCCATAGCCCTCGCTGGTATCTGGATCCCCAAGTATTTAAGGGATCGAGCAGCCCATTTAAAAAGGGAAATTAGCTTGAAGAACAGTTTGCTCTTTATTCGGTAATGAAACATCTAAACACTCTGATTTTGTAGCATTAATCTTAAAATTGCTCAGGACGCCCAAATTGTTGCAGCTCCTTCCATAGTGCGGGAAAGGCTATCCTTGGATTGGAGATATAGACAAGTGTATCATCTGCAAACAAGCTCACTTTATAGCACTTACCTCCTACCTCTATGCCCCTAATATCTTCATTCATGCTCAAAGCCTTAGCCAAAAGTTCCATCGCTAGTACATATAGAAATGGAGACAGCGGACATCCCTGTCGCGTCCCATTCCTAATTTGTACTGATTCTGATAAATATCCATTAACCCGTATTCTTGCAGTAGGGCAGGAATAAAGTGCTAACATCTTTGCTATAAAAGGAAGAGGGCATCCCAGTCTGCTTCAATGTTGCCTCAAGAAATCTCCAATCCAATCGATCAAACGCCTTTTCCGCATCTATCGAAAGCAAACAAAGTGGAATCTTTCGTGTTTGGGCCAAATGGATCAAAGAAAGTGTCTTTATTGTATTCGCTCGTCCTTCTCTACCTGGGATGAAGCCTACCTGGTCCAAATGGATAAGGGATGGAATATATAGTTGGAGACATAATGCTAACATTTTAGCATATATTTTTAGGTCCACATTTATTAAGGATATTGGCCTATAGCTTGCACACTGGGCCGGGTCTTTCTGTCCTTTCGGTATGAGTACCATATGTGCCTCTTGTGTTTGTCTTGTAAAAGAGCACCCCTCTGAGATAGCATTACAGACTGAGTTAAGGATTGGAGCAACTCCTTTCTAAATTCTTTATAGAATGCCCCTCCATACCCATCCAGGCCAGGGCTCTTTCCAGAGGGCAAGGACACAATCGCATTCTCTATTTCTTCCTAAGTAAATAGGGAACAGAGGGATTCTACCGCATTAGTATCTAATTCTGGTAATGCCGTATTATTTATATATTCTTGAAGTTGCTTATGTCCTGTGCTATTATCCCTATCCGTTAACCTATTCCCTATACAATATAAGTTCGAATAATATTGATGAAAGGTAAACACTTGTCCTCGAGTTGGACATTGATTTTTTGGAATATAGGTCTTCTTCCGTTTATCTCCGATAGATTGTGCTAGTGATCTACTACATTTGTTTCCAAACTCATAGAGAGAGCGAAAAGCAGTTTCATAGCGTTGATATGATATGTCTAGCATCTTGTGCAACTCGCTTCTCTTCCGTATAGTCACAAAGGTAGTCGGATCCTGTACTCTTTTATGCCGTTGCTCCAGCCCATGAATTTCTGCCAATAGGGTTTTTATAGACCGTTCTCTATCTTTCTTTATACGTCCCCATGTGCAATTAGGACTCCTCGCACTACACTCTTAAGTGCTTCCCATTTTATCGGTAATTATGTATTATCGTTTGAATGATCAACTATAAAAAAAAATGTAAATAGTGCCAACGACTTTAGCACTCACTATGGGGTCCTGTAAAAAGCTCTTGTTCAATCGACACAAGGATACAGGTTTAACCAATCCCGATAGACAAAGAAATACACCGGGGCATGGTCTGACCAAAACTGTGTCCCAATCTGCGCTTGGGGAGACCAATTCAACATACAATGTGACACGAAAAAAAAAAAATCAATTCTGCTATATATTGAGTATGTTGAAGAGTGACAAGTATAATCCCCGATAGCCGGGTTTAAAACCGGCCAGAGGTCTACCAATTGCAAATAATGCAATCTTTTCTTTAATTTATTTATTTGTGATTGTGAAATATGTTGATTTCCCCCAACTGTATCAACTGCTGGGTCAAGCGTAAAATTGAAATCTCCTCCTAATACCATTACCCCCTCTGCAAATTCTTCCAGCCTCGTCAGTATCGATGTAAACATCCTTGCCTGACCTTGATGTATAAGTTAGCTATTGTAAATACTTTATTATTCAGTCTACACTTAAAAAAATATACCTGCCTTCTTCATCTATTATCTCTTGTATCCTTTCAAAAAGGAACAGAAGCATGAATCCCGACTGCTGCTCTTCTAGATTTATTATAGGGGCAGTTGCTTGTAAACCAATGGGAATAGTACTTAATGCCTAAGGAAGGGCTCTTAAATGTTGAAAATGAGTTTCCTGTAAAAAGAGCATTTGGACATGTTGCTTATGCATATCATATAGCACCGATCCAAATTTCATAGTCATTGTATTTTATTCAACTCCTTCCTTCGCCCCTCCTTCCCAACCAGATCACCAAGGGAAAAGAAAAACATAAAAACCCCACCCATCCACACTATATACAGGTGAAACTCGAATAATTAGAATATCGTGCAAAGTTCATTTATTTCACTAATGCAACTTAAAAGGTGAAACTAATATATGAGATAGACTCATTACATGCAAAGCAAGATAATTCAAGACGTGATTTGTCATAATTGTGATGATTATGGCTTACAGCTCATGAAAACCCCAAATCCAAAACCTCAAAAAAGTAGATTATTACATGCAATCAATAAAACAAGGATTGTACATAGAACAATATCGGACCTCTGAAAAGTATAAGCATGCATATGTACTCCGTACTTGGTTTGGGCCCCCTTTGCAGCACTTACTGCAATTACTTTTGCATGATATTCTAATTATTCGAGTTTCACCTGTACTTCCCAACAAACCATACACACTAGGGCTGCAGTTAACGATTATTTTCAAAATCGATTAATCGAATTTTAAAAAATAATTAAAAAGGCTCGAGTGATGGACTACTAGTTTGTATTGAGAGTGTAGTCCATCACAGGAGCAAGCTTGGAGCGGAAGTAAAAAGAAAATGTAGTGTGCAATATAGTACATTATACAGCGTCGCAATGCAGAATACCAGCAGCTATAGAGGAATACAGCAAATCGCAGCAATAGTACATTATACTATAATGTACTATTGCTGGGATTTGTAGTCCTCTGTAGCTGGCGTTATTCTGCATTGCGCTGTATATAATGTATTATTGCTGGGATTTGTAGTCCTCTATAGCTGGTGGTATTCTGTAGTGCGCTGTATAATGATTATATGGCGCAATGCAGAATACCAGCAGCTATAGAGGAATACAACAAATGCCAGCAATAGTACATTATACTATAATGTACTATTGCTGGGATTTGTAGTCCTCTGTAGCTGCTGGTATTCTGCATTTCACTGCATATAATGTATTATTGCTGGGATCTGATGTATTCCTCTATAGATGGTGTTATTCACAATTGTGCTGTATAATTTATTATTGCTGGGATTTGTTGTTCCTCTACAGCTGCTAAAGATCTGCAGTGTGCCGCTTTAAAAAAAAACAAAAAAAAACCCACAGGAAACATTAAAAGGGTATGTTGTTGCTGAGTGACTTACTTTGAATGACAGTGGGCACTTGATTGTCAGCAGGCAGCGGCGAGTCAGGAAGCTCAGCAGGAGCAGAGGAACAAACGCATGTCCTCAGCGTGTGCGGTGGGCGTGGCGTGAGCGGCTTAACCGGCGTGTGCGGCTTAACCGGCGTGGGCGGGAAATTGTTCACTCCTTCCGGTGAACAATTATTCGACTTAACCCCTTCATGACTGAGGCCTTTTTTTCATTTTTTGCACCCATGTTATATTCCACATTTTAGGCCTGAAAATGACTTAAAACCCCCAAACATTATATATTTTCTGAATGCCAAGACCCTATAGAATAAAATAGTGGTAGTTGCAAATTTTTATCTTGCGCAATATTAGCGCAACTCCTTATTAAACCCCAACATTTAGTGAAAAATTTAATTTAATGCCCCAAAACACAACAAAATACCAATTTTTTAAATGACATATAAAAGATGAGGTTACAACGAGTAAAACGATACCCAACATGCATAGGTTACAAATTGCGTGCGTCCGTGAAACGGCGAAAAACTGCAGTACCCCAAAAAGTCAATAGAAGACGCTTTAAAAGCCCCCACAGGTCATCAATTTAGAGATACCCCAAAATACTGGCCCTAGAATTATTGCTCTCACTCCGGCGTGCACGGCGATACCCAACATGTGTAGCGCGTTCGTCGTTTTCATACGTAGGTGCATCCGATGCGTGCTTACGTGGCGACGCGCATGCTCGCGGGGCACTTTTAACATTTTTTTTATTATTATTAGATTTATTTTATTTTAATTTTAAAAAAACGTTTCTTTTTTTTTTTACTTTGACTGCTATCACATAG